GGCGGGTGCCGCGCGGGTGACCGTGAGCGAGCGAGGCGGTGTTGCCCGCGCGGCTGCAACTCTTACAGCGCCTCTCTATGCGACGCTATCTCGCTCGGCCCCACCCGTCACTGATAACGCTTCCTCGCCCATGACCAGAGCCCCAGTGACCACCGCCATGCACTCGTCGAACGGGACGGGCGGGCGATCCTCCTCGTCCCCGCAACCGCCGCCGCCGCCGCCCCGCCACCCACCCGCCTCTCTCCCTGTCCCGCCCCGCCCGGCGTCCGATCGAGGTGACGCGATTCTCACGGTGCGAAGTAGTCGTCCTGGTGTCAACACCCCACCCCCTTCCCCCCACCACACACGCTCACACGCGCCGTGCGTCGGAGGAAACGACCACGTCCACGCCGTGCATATCCGATGCTCTCCGGCACGGCGAGGTCCTCCCGCCGGGGCGGGGCTGGGGGCCGGGCCGGCTGGGCTGCCCCCTCGCGACCCCGCGCCCCGCGGCCCCGCGGCCAGCCGGCGTGTCAACACTGGGCCCACCGTGGAGGGTGCGCCCGATATGCTCTCGGCCGTAATGTCAAGCAGAGAACGCGAAATAACTTTGACGCGCGCCGCGCCGGATCAGATCAGACGTGTTGTGCGGCCGTGGTGGGTAGTGGTGGTGGTGGTGAAGGTGGTGGTGGTGGTGGCGGCTGCTTCTCGCCGGCACCGGCGGCGGTGCGACTGCGACGAGGGAGGAGAGGGGTTGGGAGGGGGAGGGACACTGATGATGGGCCCCATTCATCGGGGAGGCTCCTGGGGCTCCTCTGCACCCGGGGCACGCACTGACGCGACGCATCGACAGGAGACGGGCCAGAGTCCCTGAGGGGGGGGGGAGGGAGGGGAGCGCATGCGAGTAGAACCGAACGGGGGGAGGGGGGTAACAGAACAGAATGGGCATAAGCGAGAGACGACAATCTGCCGCCACGAGCAAGCGCTCAAAGCTTTCGGGACGCGTCTTCAATAAAAACACACACGCGTCGCATACATACCACCGTGAGCTTGTCACCTATCCGGTGTGTTTGTGTGTGTGGGTGTTTGTGTGTGTGTGTCTATCGCGGTGGAATATCTCTCTTTCTCTCGCGGCTCTCGGCGCGGTGTCGTGGCGACGCGTTGCGATGGACACTGATAAGGCCCCGGACCCGTCGGGCCGGGCCGGGCGGGCGGTCCGATATCACACCATAACCACACACATCATGCATTATGGGATGGGAGCGGGCTCGGGAGCGGGCGGGGCGCAGCGAGCGGTGCAGCCGGCTCGCTCTCGCAACCCCCAACCCCAGCCACAGCCACAGCCCCATCC